AGCCAGCAAAGAAATCCTGGCAGTAAGTTATTGCGCGTTCTGCTTCCCCTCCTGTCCTCGCCACCTTCTTGGTGTCAAGAAGTTATTGCTTCCTTCAGAGCAGCCGTTGCATGCGGATGAAGCAAGCGTGGCTTTCCTCTGGGTTCTGGAGTGACAAAGGAATTTGTCTTGTGTTCTGTGTACAGTGAAGGCAAATCTTGTATAGAAAAATGAGTAAGAAGTGTCTCGGAACAGAAATATTTCATCACAGATGAAGTTCCTGACACGCATATTGTGATATTTTTGATCACAGCTAAAGAAAGCTCCGTTGCTACTGACACTGCACAGTGGAGTGGTTTTATTTGGCCAGCGATGGGGGGGGGCGGGGGGAAGATATGTTATAAATGAGGAAATGACTATTGTCCTACTGTCGCGGTCTCAAGCTTGTTTGAAGAACTGAGAAAACATGTTGAAATGTCACAGTGAAAATATTACACGTGACTAGACTCAGTACGTGTGGGACGTCTGCCATCCCTGAGAGAGAAATAAATGGTTGAGCTGCTCTGCTAGAGGGGGGATTTGGATAGGAAGTTATTCGGGTCCCCCTGCGTTAGCCGTAAAGAGGGTCTTTTTTGTGCCAAAAATGGACATTTCTTACGCGCTTAAGTCCCACCGTCTAGGACATCAATAAAATCTGAGGGATTTTGGGGAGTTTTGTGTTTGCTGAGGGTTCCTTATGGTGTTCCTTATGGGTCCTGTCCAACTTGAGATCCTCTGTGATTCTGTACTGCAGAGGAACCGGCGCAGCAGAGCGTGGGCTGTGCGTCGGGCTGGTGCTGTGCTACGGTCCCCTGCCACCGCTAAATCCCCGCTTCTCTGATGCCTCTTGCAGGAGGTAGAGCGCAACCTTCAGGATGCCATGCAGGTGTGTCGCAATGTCCTCATGGACCCGCAGCTGGTGCCGGGCGGGGGAGCTACCGAAATGGCTGTTTCCCACGCTCTGACAGAGAAGTCCAAAGGCATGACGGGTGTGGAGCAGTGGCCGTACCGTGCCGTAGCCCAGGCTCTGGAAGTCATTCCTCGAACGCTGATCCAGAACTGCGGTGCGAGTACCATCCGTGTGCTGACCTCGCTCAGGGTAAGGCGTGTGGTGTGGGGTCGTCTGAAGGGACTCGGCCCCTTCATGACGTGTCCTGCTCTTACGGTTTGAGGAACCCACAACCATTTATTGTCGTTCAGACAATTATTCTGTCACCTGATGAGCTCTTCCTTCCCAGGAAGGGGAATTAGGATAAAACAAGGAAAGCCAAGGGTTGAAATATAAATAGATTTAATAGGATAAGACTAGATAATTAATATTATAAGACTAGATAATTAATATTAGTAATACCAAGGAACCAGTATTGATCCCGATACCAATATAGAATACACAAGGATTATCCTTGGCCCATTCTATCTGTAGAAGCCATACGCTCAGCCGCGCGCTCCCAGCAGGGACAGCAAATGTGGGACGCTGTGAGCGCTGCGGCTTCAGGAGGAAGAGAAGGGACCAGGGCTCCGGCACCGGGGTGAGGAGTTCTCAGGATGGCAGCCATCAGAGGAGAGAAAAGCTCCTCAGAAAACTTTCTAATTTCTATGGAATGTGCTGCTCAATGGTATGAACTAACCCTGTTGGGCAGTTTGGGTCAAGTGCCCGGGTCTCGCTCCTCCTCATCCCCACCCCTGGTGAGCTCGAAAACACTCAGACCTTGAACCCCGCATCCCATAGCTGGCTAGAAAGGAAATATTTTCACAAATTCAGACGCTAGTGTCTTCCAAAAGTGCATTTTTCCCAAGTATTAGAAGAGAAATTAGTCCTGTGTCACTCAGACCAGGCCACCCACCCCTCGGATCGATCACCCATAGCACTGCAGTTTCGCAGGTCCTTGAGGGTGCAGCTTTTTAGTAGTTGCAATAGCAGCTTTTATGTTAAAGGAAACCTGTGTTGAAGTAACCCATCTGCTGAAGGTGACTGAAAGACGCGTGTGTTTTTTGCCTGGGCTGTGCTGCAGACATTTTTACTGGAGTTTTGTGCCAAATTTGAAAGCCTGAAAATGGAATTTTCATGGTGGTCTAGTGGGAGGTGTCCCTGCCCAGGGCAGAGGGTGGGAACTCGATCTTTAAGGTCCCCTCTAAGCCAAACCATTCTGTGAATTCAATAGCTTGTTTGAGGTACCGGAATTGAAAAACACAATAACAAAACCCCGAGGGTGAACAAAATCAAAATCTTCCTTTGAGATGAGATTGGATGGCAGGAGAAAGAATGTCTCCACATCGAACTTGTTGTGTAATTAAGTCTTTCAGGTGGTGCTCGGTAACATGCTTTTGTATAAACTCCACAATTGAGAAAATTCTAATGACCTGTTACTATTTTCCTGAGCCCGTGGTCAGTTTGGCTTTCCAGAAGGTGAATTTGATGTCTTACACTGTCAGTGCCGACCCATCTTTATGCTTCCAGGCAAAACACGCCCAGGAGGGCAGCCAGACATGGGGTGTGAACGGTGAGAGCGGAGCCTTGGTGGATATGAAGGACCTGGGGATCTGGGAACCTTTGGCAGTTAAATTGCAGACCTACAAAACAGCGGTAGAGGTGAGGAGAGGGGTGGGACCCAAGAGCCTCCCCGTAAGGTGTCCCAGGGCAGAGGGGAGCGTTGCCGCTGGCGCACCGCGGTGTTTGCGGTGCTCGCCCCAGGGCGGTGTGTGCCTGGAGGTGCGACAGCAGGATGCGGCACCCATGGGAGCCCCTGCCGGGGCCTTCAGAGGGGCTGAGTTTTGAGCCTGTGGTTAAATCTGCCGTGTTCCGTCCCACCTCGTTCTGCCGGCTGCGAGGAGGAGTTAATCTCCCGAGGACCGGAGTTCCAGAGGTGTGCTGGAATCCGGTCGGTGGCCCCGGGGGCTTCTGCCCTTTGGCTCCTCGGAGTGGCCTTGCACGAGCTGCTCTCCCCTGTTAAAAGATGATATTTTGAGCGTTCGCTCGCTGGTGTTGCATCCAAAGCTGTTGCTTGAAGGGCTGCTTTGTCCCTTTCTTGTCGGTCAGCTGGAAATAATCCCTGTCCCCTTTTCCCTGGGGTGTCCCTGCCGTGTGCTCCTGTGACACGCACCGTGTCCTTTCCCCTCTGCTGTGCCAAGAGAATAATTTAATTATTATTTAATCAAGGAGGACGGGTCTTTGGTGTGAAAGCCGGGTGGGTTGTATTTTATTCCTTGCGCTGAGCTCCTGACAGGACCTGGGCACGGGCTTTTCTCCCCAGACTGCAGTTCTCCTCCTCCGCATTGACGACATCGTTTCGGGGCACAAGAAGAAGGGCGATGATCAGAGCAAGCAGCCCGCCGCGCCCGAGGCAGCCCAGGAATAAGAGGGGTCGAGTCGCCGCCGGGAAGAACCGGGCACTGGGGAAGAGCCGCATGGAGCCGCCTCGGCCGGAGGCTGAGCTGGGGAACAGGAAAAAAAAAAACACAAACAAAACAAACAAAAACCACACCACCCCAAGAAGGTGGGGAAGGGGCTGATGTGTCTCTGGGTGGAGATGCTGATGCTTAAGTTAAGTCTCTGGACTGGAACTTCCCCTCCCTGTTTGCCTCAAAAATAAACCGCGTCATTTCAAGCTCTTTGTGCGTTTAATGCGGGGCAGGGAGGGGGGTGGAGGAGCCTCCCCGGAGCTGCCGGTGAGCTCCGGGCACGGCCGTGCTGCGGGACGGGACCCCCCCGCGCCCGCTGCCGCCCTCGTCTCTCCCCCCC